TTTCTGCACACTATTTGATTCAACCTCTGTTTGCTGGAAGTGCTTAAACCTCTGGACTGAGAAGAAGTGGGAATATTAACTCTAAATTATAAAAGCAAAGCCACCCTTGTCTTTCTATGAATGCGCCACCCCCTGACAATTGGAGGTATTACAATTAGAAAAAGAAATTAAATTGGCATTTTAATATTTTATTGATTGTCGGATCTTGTGTCTCTCATCTTCCTCTTGATTAAACTCCACCGATTCTTTATGGGTTTTAGGTCAGGGCAGCTTACAGTCCATTTAAGCACAGTTACACAAGGGTGACAGCTTTTAGTGACTTCTGGAATGTCAGTATAAATGACTGTGAAAACTTCACTCTGGACTAAAAGTAACACAGATTCTGTCCCTCTTCTTCCAGACTCTTAGGCCTGATTATCAAAATGAAATGAAAACTTTAATGTTAAAAGAAGACTCCGAGCTACTAAGCAATAGTCCAGTACTTTTTTTTTTCCTTAGCCCAAGTAAGTCCTCCTCTGACATTGCCTCTGGGTAATCTGTGGGATGAGAGGGGGGGATGCAATATTTGTAACTATGTTTATAACATTTCTGTGCCTTTTGCTTAACTTAGTCTATTCTTTGTTAAGCTTCTCCAAATTGGATCTACTTGACAATCTTTTTAGTTATTTCTATGGATGGATGGATGGATGGATGTATGATTGGATGGATGGATGGATGGATGGATGGATGGATGGATGGATGGATGGATGGATGGATGGATGGATGGATGGTTGGATGGATGGATGGATGGATGGATGGATGGATGGATGGATGGATGGATGATGGGTGGATAGATGATGGATCTGTGGATGGACGGATGGACGGATGGATGGATGGATGGATGGATGGATGGATGGATGGATGGTTGGATGGATGGATGGATGGATGATGGGTGGATAGATGATGGATCTGTGGATGGACGGATGGACGGATGGATGGATGGATGAATGGATGGATGGATGGATGGATGAATGGATGGATGGATGGATGGATGAATGGATGGATGGATGGATGGATGGTTGGATGGATGGATGGATGGATGGATGGATGGATGGATGGATGGATGGATGGATGGATGATGGGTGGATAGATGATGGATCTGTGGATGGACGGATGGACGGATGGATGGATGGATGGATGGATGAATGGATGGATGGATGGATGGATGGATGGATGGATGAATGGATGGATGGATGGATGGATGGATGGAATGATAAATTGATGGATTATTGGGTGGGTGGGTGGATAGACTGATGGATGGATGGATGGATGGTTGGATGGATGGATGGATGGATGGATGGATGATGGGTGGATAGATGATGGATCTGTGGATGGACGGATGGATGGATGGATGGATGGATGGATGAATGGATGGATGGATGGATGGATGGATGGATGAATGGATGGATGGATGGATGGATGGATGGATGGAATGATAAATTGATGGATTATTGGGTGGGTGGGTGGATAGACTGATGGATGGATGGGTTGGTGAGTGGATAGAGGTATGAATAGATGATCGATTGGATGGTTGGATGGATTGATGGGTTGATGGATGATAGATGGGTGAGTGGATGGATGGATGTGCTGGTGAGTTGTTGGGTGGGGGATGGATGGATGGTCCAAGCAATTGAGCATTTGAAAAAAAAAATATATATATATAATTATTTTACAAATTCTAAGGGTTTTAGTGATGTTTGAAAATCCACATTCTATATCTTCTGTAAAAATGACTCCAGACTCCAGACCTGAATAACAAGCTCATACAACTACCAGCACAGAATTATCACCAGCTGCTATATTTAGTTTAGTACACCTGGAGCTGTTGAACACTCACTGTTTTTCTTTGCCCACTCAGCACTTGTGCACCTTTGCCAGCGTCCACTCAGCACCCCAGGCTGTCAGCTGCTTCTGGAACTTTATGTTATGGCAAGCTGTTATCTGATGTACTACTAATTTATAAGCATACTTTATGTTCACAATTGGAGGAGCAAGCAGTTTGAGCATCTCAGGTTGCAGAGTATATTTGAAAAAAAAAAAAAAAATGGATTCAGATTTTGACAACTTTATCACCTATGGGGGAAATCCTGTTTTCAGACAATTGCTGCGAAGGACAAAAACTATCCACAGGGTCACCTGAGCCCATCAGCCTGTGGGTTGTTACCAAAATGTACTAGGCATTGCTAGATCACATGTTGAGGCCAGTAAGCAGTTGGTTGTTTTTAGACAACCTTCCTTTCTGACATACCCGAAGCATCTACAGCAACCACATTTATCTTTATTTTGTGGCTGGGTGCTGCAGCAATTTAGTTTGTGCACATTTAGTTTATCCAGACATTTCAATATGAACGTGCTCCATTAGCCCTTTCAGTTATAAGGATTAGAATTCAAGCTACCACTATTGATACTGATATCATCAAAACCAAGTAAAACTTGCTTGTAAGAATCATGGGGATATAATTTGTGATTGCAAAAAAAAAAACGCAAATACAATTTTCAGCATTGTATATAGAACTAAACAATAGCACAATCAATACAGCTTTAGTGATTTAAAGATCAATATATTCTAGAATAACAATTTGTATCTGTTGAAATTGAATGAAAAGAAATGTATAATTTAACCTGACTCCTTCAGATGGATTTGCTCAGCATATCCATCTGGAAACCTCCCGTTGAAGTAATTTTGGGAAGGGGCGAAAATACTGGTTAGCTGATTGGCCTATGTTGGTGATAGACGGGCCAAATAAACCAATCAGATCCACGAAGCATATGACGTACTAACAGAGCGACGACGAAAACACAACTACAAGCCAGGCTACTCTTGCTGAAACCAGTCGGGAGAAGAGCAAAAACATCTTTTCCTCTGAGAAAAGCCTCCAGAGCAGTGTTTTGCTCTTCTTTCAGTGAAGAAATACTCTGTAATTCCGATAAAACTTGCTCGATAGCCACGCTAGCGCTAGTTTCATCTGCTGAAGCGGCCATCTTCTTTAGACTGAACTGTCGCGCTTCTCGTTGCGTCAAACCTCAACCCGCCTCAAAGCCAACGCTGATTGGACGTTCGTTTGGTGAACGGCTCCAAATTTTCTTTAACGGAGAGTCTCCAGACTGATTAGCGAGTGAATCCTTGGAAGCTCGCGAGATCAGGATGGTCTCACGAGGCTATGTATAATTGCAAAGGGTTTGTTATTTGAAACTGGTTTCTTATATTGTACAAATCTTTCAAAGTGAACGTTAACATGCCTGCTCCTGGTCTGCACATGTACCAAATTCAATCTAAATCATACCATCCTTCCTCTCTGTGAAGTAAAATCTGTTTTGTTTTTTATATGTTTTCCTTTATCTTCTGAAACATAACTGAAACAGGTCAGTTCTTGCAGCTGGTTGCCACATAGACCTGGATTTAAGCATCAAGACAAATTGCTGACTAGAAAGCTTCATAGATTGCATAGAAATCATTCCTCTCTAGCTTTGTGTGTCATTAAATTTTCAGAGATGTGTTGGATACTACTTCTCTCCCAAGGGTTGTATGATCTCCAGACATTTTAAGGAATATTGCATCCATTCATCAGGTCGACAGGAGAAATAGTTTTTGTCTTGTATTATAGATTGATATAAGGTAAATAAAGTCATTAAACCTTTATCATCAATTGGTTTTTTTTATGTTTGTTATAGGGATGCACGATATTGGGATTTTGGCCGATATCCGATATGCCGATATTTTAAAACTCATGTAGCCGATAACCGATATCGATACCGATGTTAAAGCTGGACAAAAATAAGTAGTCATTGAAAATAGCAGTTTTGTTATCCATTTCTGACACTTTGAAAAATAATATACTCAAATATATTTTCATATGCTGATATCAAATTGATTTTTAAAAACGCGGTATCGATCTATTTTACTTTCAAAATCTCGTGAAATTTCATCGTTCTGTTACAAACTCTCGTGATATTTTGCAAATTCTTGTAAGACTTTGTTTGTAAAATAGATCGATGCCGCGTCAATATATCAACATATAAAAATATGGCAACATTTCGTGAATTTTGGGGGGATTTCGTAGCATAAAGATGACATATAGCAATATTTAATTAGTAAAAGAGATTGATATGGTGTTTTTAAATGGCATTATATCAGCATATGAAGATATTGGGATATTTTAATGTATCAATATTTTTTCCCTCGTCTTTAGAAGTTTTTATGTCTGTAAAAAAGAAGTTTTTGAGGAAGAAGAAGAAGTAGTATTTTTTTTTTTTTTTTAGACTTTAGAAACTCAGAAGCTGATCAAATATCGGGTTAAATATCGGTGGGGTGGCCGATGTCCGATATTCAGTTTTAAGGCCGATTATATCATGCATCCCTAGTTTGTTAGACTGGTTTTGTAGTAACAGTAAATGTATAGAGGTTGTGTGATTTTTATTTTTTTTTTTAGGTGATTTGTCACCTGAAACTTTATTGTAATCGTTTTTTGTAAACGTTTGTGGATTTTTATTTGATTGGTGAACTTTAATGTTTGGTTACACTGGGTCCCTTTGTGAAATATATGACATGTTCGTTCCTTCTAATTCCCTCCCAGCTTGCTTTGCAGGTTTTCTGGTCACTCAACATTTGTTCAGCCAGTTTATTGTGATCTAAAGTGTTATCCATTTTCACTTATCCATCTCCCGTTTGTTATCGTGATTATCCACTTCATGTTAAATTCATCTTCTCCTTTCTGAGTCTAATTTCACCAAAGCTCTTCATAAAAATACACCCTTTACTGTTTATAATTTGTATGTATTTTCATTGGAAACAGGAGCCTGTACATGAGCTTTGCAAGATAACTGAAATATTAGTAGGAGTTGTCTTGGATTGTTAAAGCTTTCTGTAAAAATGAATAAGTTAAAGCTTTATCTCATTGACAAAATGAGATAAAAATCTATGTTGTCATTTTTCTTACTCAGACTCTTATGTCATTTAACAGCTTTTGCCATGACTACAGATGAGATAGAAAGTCACCAGAAAAAGCCGAAGCAGCAACAGGAGGAGGCTGTCCATGATACCCAGCTGCATTCTCCTGAGGATGAAAATCTCCAGCCTCGAAATCGAAACTCTGCCAGCCGTGGTCTCTCACGGCTCTTCTCCTCACTGTTGAAGCGGCGTTCACAGTGTGATAGTGACGGGGGGCAGAGGGAAGAAGAGGACGATGAAGCTAAAGCTCCTATTGCTGATCCTGAACCTGAACTGAAAATTGAGGGAGAGGTTGCTTTGGACCAGCATTCAGTCAGCAGTCTAGACGCTCAGGTATGAACACATGAACATATACACTTTTGTGAAAATCCATTTGCGCTCCTAAAGCTGTTTCAAATCATCACTGAATTAAATACAGATTAAAGTGTTAAAATTATTTTTTTATTCATAAATAACTTTCTAACGTTAGCAGCTTGACCCTTGTTGAATTAACGTGAGTAACCAAATGTTTATTTTCACTTATCACACCAACCCTTAATAATGCCATACCAGTATGGTAGAATCAAGAAATCACTTCAATAAAACTTGTCTTAGAACACGAAGTAGGCCAGAGCTTTTAGAGCAGCTGATAAACAAAGAACTTACATTTATCTGTCTGCAAATGGTCAGGTCTAAGTGCAACAAACCTCTGTGTTCCAAAAATAGGTAAATTTATGGAACAGGAAGAGTTCGCCTTATCCGAGAGTTCGCCTTATCAGAGAGTTCGCCTTATCCGAGAGTTTGCCTTATCCTAGAGTTTGCCTTATCCTTGAGGTCCCTTATCTGAGTGGTCGCCTTATCCAAGAGGTTGCCTTATCCGAGAGGTCGCCTTATCCAAGAGGCCGCCTTATCCAAGAGGTTGCCTTATCCGAGTTCGCCTTATCCGAGAGGTCGCCTTATCCGAGAGGTCGCCTTATCCAAGAGGTCGCCTTATCCGAGAGTTCGCCTTATCCTAGAGGTCTCCTTCTCCTAGAGGTTGCCTTCTCCTAGACGTTGCCTTCTCCTAGAGGTCGCCTTATCCAAGTGGTCGCCTTATCCAAGTGGTCGCCTTATCCTAGAGGTCGCCTTCTCCTAGAGGTTGCCCTTTCCTAGAGGTCGCCTTATCCGAGAGGTCGCCTTATCCGACACTTCGCCTTATCCGAGAGGTCGCCTTATCCAAGAGGTCGCCTTATCCGAGAGGTCGCCTTCTCTTAGTGGTCGCTTTATCCGAGAGGTCGCCTTTTCCTAGAGGTTGCCTTCTCCTAGAGGTCGCCTTATCTAAGAGGTCGCCTTATCCAAGAGGTCGCCTTATCCTAGAGGTCGCCTTCTCCTAGAGGTTGCCCATTCCTAGAGGTCGCATTATCCGAGAGGTCGCCTTATCCGAGAGGTCGCCTTATCCGAGAGTTCGCCTTATCCGAGAGGTCGCCTTCTCCTAGAGGTTGCGTTCTTCTAGAGGTCGCCTTATACAAGAGGTCGCCTTATCCTAGAGGTCGCCTTCTCCTATAGGTTGCCCTTTCCTAGAGGTCGCCTTATCCAAGACATCGCCTTCTCCTAGAGGTTGCCCTTTCCTAGAGGTCGCCTTTTCCTAGAGGTTGCCTTCTCCTAGAGGTCGCCTTATCTAAGAGGTCGCCTTATCCAAGAGGTCGCCTTATCCTAGAGGTTGCCTTCTCCTAGAGGTTGCCTTCTCCTAGAGGTTGCCCTTTCCTAGAGGTCGCCTTATCCGAGAGGTCGCCTTATCCGAGAGTTCGCCTTATCCGAGAGTTCGCCTTATCCTAGAGGTTGCCTTCTCCTAGAGGTTGCCCTTTCCTAGAGGTCGCCTTATCCGAGAGGTCGCCTATCCGAGAGTTCGCCTTATCCGAGAGGTCGCCTTATCCTAGAGGTCGCCTTATCCGAGAGCTCGCCTTATCCAAGAGTTCGCCTTATCCGAGAGGTCGCCTTATCCTAGAGGTTGCCTTATCTGAGAGGTCGCCTTATCTGAGAGGTTGCCTTATCCCAGAGTTCGCCTTATCCAAGAGGATACCTAATCTGAGAGGTGACCCTATCCAAGAGGTCGCCTTATCCAAGCTGAATACTGAATCAGTGCCAGGAATCATGACATTTTACAACCTTGAGACAGAGATGACATGACTCCTGCAGCAGGATGATGATCCATCTTCGAATAGCTTAAAGAAAATGTTCTTTTAATGGCCTAGTTAAAATCTGAGCTTCTATTAGAATGCAGGGGTGTTTCTTAAAATCTCCCCTTCATGCACAATTAATGCTTTTCTGCAAGCAAGAGTAGGTTTGAAATTTCTCTTAAGTGATCTCATTATAAGTTCATATAAACTGTTGATGGGAGTCATTTCTAAGGCTCAGTTAAGATTAGGGGCCAAATAGTTTTTCATATAGAATGAGCCAATGAAATTCTATATTCACCCATTCCACTTCATTAGGTTAACTCAGCTGTCAAAGATGCTCTTCTTAAAACTGGACAATTGCTCTAAGAAATTATGAAAGAATTATCACCTAAATGAACATTTTCAGGCTCTTCAGGCTGAAAAGAAAGACGTCAACGAGGATACGACTGAAAAGGTGAAGGAGAAGAATGATGAAAAGGGGGAAGCAGTTGTTCTGGACAAGGAGGAGGATGAGGAGGACAAAGGAAAGGAATTGTCTCCTGATGGAAAGGACAAAGAGGAAAAGGAGAAGACCACAGAGGAGGAGACCAAAACGCCCAGAGCTCCACGCCGACCAAAGACGCTACAGATCACCGTCACGCTGCTGGATGATGCTGTGTTTGAGTGCGAGCTGGATGTGAGAACAATTATTACTACTTTCTTTTAAATACTGAAGGTTAAGATTTAAGATGAGCTTTATTTTTTGAGTGTGAACTTTTCTTTTTGCCTCGGTTTGGAAACCCATGTTAGAAACATGCCAAAGGTCTGGAACTGTTCATGAAGGTGTGTGACCATCTCAACCTGCTGGAGAAAGACTATTATGGCCTGGCCATCTGGGAGACCCCCACCATGAAGGTGAGACAAATATTTCCTTCTGATCCTACTACGCAAAAACCCTCTTAAGTGCATAATAAATAAACTGGGAATCTTTGTTTTAATGGAGGTTCAGGATTTAATCATGAATTCCTCTTTTTTTCTGCCAGATCTGGATGGACCTGACCAAAGAGATTCGCAGGCAGGTGCAAGGTGAGCCTGTGTCCCAAATAAACCTCCCACTGTGTTTCCTCCTTGCTGCATTATTTTTATTATTATTATTATTATTATCAGCTCAAATCACTCTGGATTTTGCTCATTAGGTACCAACTATGATTTCACATTTAATGTGAAATTTTACCCACCGGATCCCGCCCAGCTCTCAGAGGATATAACAAGGTACGCAAGACATAATTCTGTCTTATTATTTTATTCTTCATAAACCTTCATTTTTTGGTGGTTTTATGAGTAATATTGTTTTATTTCCCTAAAAAAACTGAAACACACTTGCAGTGTAGGATAAATTAAAGTTATTATTGAGCTGGAGGTTGGCATTAAAAAAAGGCTAAATGAATGTGGGAGAAAAGTAGTATATGATCAGCTCTTAAAATAACAGCTTTGTGGTTCTGGTTACAGCTATAAATAAAAGAAGGTGGAATCGTGACTGTTTTTCATTCCTTCAGTGATTTATTTTTCTAAGTTGAAACATGTCTCTAATCTAAAGCTCTTGTGATTACTGTAATATTTAATAAAAAGTAATACCCCTTACAATTTTGAGTTAAGCAAAGCAAAAATGATATTGTTAGGTTAGCTGTTATAACCAGGTTCATGCTGTTGGAATTTCAATCAGGAGAAAATATTTCGATGTAAAACAATCAAAGGATTATCTTTGATAATTTGCTAATGATCAAAGGCAACCGAACCCTAAACTGAAGGAATGTTAGAAATTCTCTGGAGAAATGGTGCAGCTTCACCTGCTGCTGTGACCAATACGGTCTTATTCTCCTTTCACAGCTATCTACTTTTCTCATTCATCTCTTTTTAAATGTTTAAATTAAATAAACGTATTAGTCTAACATAGAGAGATATTTTTGTTTGATTGCTATCCCTGTTGGCTGCTTATGACACAATTATCTTGCATCGAACATTCATACGTTTGACTTTCTTTTGACCAAATCTTAACCTCAGGCAATTTTTCACAATTTCCAGTCAAGGTTTTATATCAAGCTTCTGGAATGTTTGAATTTTTTGTTAAAGTTGCACAGTATTTTCTAACACGAAGAACCAACATAGACAAAATGTTTAATTAGATTACCCATTAATTGCGTGTTTTAAAATAATTGAAGACTGCTCATCTCACATGGCTTAAACAAGGCTCATACAATCGTACACAAGCTCAGAAGTTATTCCAGTCTGATCCTGTTTACCATTGTGATCATGAAGGGCTGTGGATCAATTCTCATGTTAATTACTGAAGAGCATTCATAAAACCAAAGGTTGTTTAAACAAAAAAGCCATTTACCACTGTCTCTACAATGTGATATAATTTTACCTTCAGATTATGATTATATTAAGTAACTAGAGCTGGAGGTTTAATAAATTAATATGTTATTAAAATCAAGGGTAAAACCAATTAATGACCTATAGTTAAATTATTAGAACTGATCTGAACTGGCAGAGAACGCCTTATATACAGACAAGCACTGTTATGTCAGCCAGAAACCGATAAAAGCCTCCCAGCCTTCCATAGTAGATGTCTCGCTTTGTGTAACACAGCCGACGACTTTTCTAAAATAGCAATGTCACAATAGATTTTCCTGTCACAAGTGGAGCAGGATGGCTATCGCCATAGTGTTACGCTTTATTTATGCATATAAATTGCTTTATTATAATTATTATTTCTAATTATTACAGATTATTAGTATGAGTATTACAGATTATATGGACACTGCAATGTAGGTAGAACAGGAAAGGGAAAAGAAAAAAAGGAAGACAGAGGAGATAAAAGGGCGCTAACGAAATAACATATTCAGGCTGCTTCATCACCTGCAAAGACATGGTATGAGGCATACAATAAAGTAACACCTACATACTATCGCTGAAATATAAGTAGTATTATTTAATCTGACATGTACTCTGTGTTACCTGAAGATAAGAATATGGGCTTTCTGTATGGAAGTGAATCTCTAAGTACCTGGAACCAAGCACCTGTAGTTGTTGGTGAGAGTGCACTTATTCATGTAAAGTTTATCCAAAGGAAAAATGCGAGCCGAAGAGGCCCCCTTTGTTTGATGGACCCTTGGCTGGTCCTCTACAAGTCCTTTTTAAAACATCGATCTTTGTACTAAAATATTCTTTCTGTCATGATGTGGACATCAAGATCTAAAGACAAGTTTCATCTCCTGGTCAGACCCTGTAATTAAGTGAAAGGGTGGAGTCAGAGAAAAAAAATATATACGCCCAGTGGCTGGAAGTTGAAGAGAATTTTGCAGGAAGTCGCAGGAAGTGGGCTGCCATTCAGCTGGCATTTGACTGGGAAGGGTCTTTTTGAATGGTACTGCTACTGTACATGTTCTTAAAACAAGTCTAGATTTACAGAAAATTACAAAATAAAAGCACTGGAAGAATTTAATTAATCATTATGGTAAAAAACAAAACAACTAATTAATTGCCTTTCAAAAGCAGAGCTTTTGAAAAGCAAATTAGAAAATATTGTGGCAATAAGTTACAAACATGATTATTGACAGGGAATGTTCACCTTATAAATGTAAATAACACTATTCCAAAAAAAGTAAAAAAGAAACCCACTGAACTTTGTTTCCAAGTTTGAAGACGTTTCGCTTCCCATCCAGGAAGGTTTTTCAATTCAAAATATCTGGATTAGCGTTGAGTTCCAGGCTTTATACAGCAGCCCAGCAAAGCCTTGTTGTGGCTTAGAAAACATTCAAATTGAACGGGAAGAACAGGTCCACCCCTTAGCAATAGGGAGTCTTGGAGGTCTTTGTTAGCCTGCAATACCCGATACTGTCCTATACCTCTGAAAAGGGAAGTCATTAGGGTCGTTGTTGACCTGGCTGACCAGGTGAGATGTTTTGGTCCCCTGGCGGGAAGGAATCATCTCTATCACTGCGTTGTAGGTTCTTAAGAGCTGAAACCTGAGTCCACCTCCTCTGTTTAAGGTTTTTCTCTCTTAACATTGATGGCTTCCTTCACACCCCTTTCAAACCACCTGCCTTCTTTGTCCAAAATGTTTTGGTCCTCAAAAGAATGTCCTTTGTCTATAAGGTGTGGATGGACAGCCGAGGCTTGTCCGGAGGAGGTAGCCCGTCTGTGTTGAGCCATGTGTCTATGGAGAGGTTGTTTGGTTTCTCCAATATAAAGATCAGAGCATTTCTTACTGCATTGCACTGCAGACACCACTCTGCTCATCTTAGGTCTGGGGGTTTTGTCTTTAGGATGCACTAGCCTCTCTCTAAGGGTCTGTTTGGTTTGAAATGTTCTGGGATTTTGTGTTTGGAGAAAATCCTCTTGAGTTTTTCAGAGACTCCAGCAACATATGGGATGGTGATGTTTTTGCCTTTAATCCCTCACCGTTATGTTCTGCTGTGAGTTTTTTGGATTACCTTGCTAATTTGACAAATGCCCAGTTTGGGTTTCCACAGGTTTGCAGATGTGTTTCTGTTCTTTGGGCTTCCCTTTCTGTTTCAGTAGGGAAATACTTTAAATAACATCCAAAAGGGTTTCTTTTATTTATGGAATGTTTCCTTTTTCTTGGAAAGTTCAAACTAATGCTGTTTTTGTTTGTGCATTGAAGGTACTACCTGTGTCTCCAGCTGCGGAAGGACATCTTGCACGGCCGCCTTCCCTGCTCCTTCGTCACCCTGGCTCTACTGGGCTCTTATGCCCTGCAGTCAGAGCTGGGCGAGTATGACCCTGAGGTGCATGGCAGTGATTATGCTAAGGAGATGAAAATGGCTCCAGGCCAGACCAAAGAGCTGGAGGACAAAATGATGGAGCTGCATCGTACATATAGGTTAGAAACCTGTCATTTTATAGCACAATGAAATTAATTTATGTATTCCGACAAAAAAAAAAACTGAAATTCTTACCTTTCCATTTTCTTTCTTTTTGGTAAACGTGGCAGGACAATGAGTCCAGCCCAGGCAGATCTGATGTTTTTGGAGAATGCCAAGAAACTCTCCATGTATGGCGTGGACCTTCACCAGGCCAAGGTGAGCTGAAATTGGTAACCTGAGGCTCAAATGGAAGGTGGTTCTCTAGACCTTCCTAAGTAGCAGATAAAACAGGGACTGGTTCTGAAGTTATTTAAATTTCCTGAAGATTATAAGCATTTTTGTTTTCATTTTTTAACTGAAAAACTGCTCTACATCTTTGCACAACATTTTTAGTGAGGGTTCATGGATTGCAGTTTTCTGGCCATTTGTTTTTCATCACAGTTATAACAAACACCTAATGGTGTCAAACTAAAATAAAAAAATATGCCGGTGAAGATTCCCACTCATCCAGGTCAGTCATTCCAAGATAGTAAAAAACAAACTAATGGACTTTGTTTTCCAGGTTTTAAGACGTTTTGATGTTTTGCTTCCCATCCAAAAGGCTTTGTCAATTCAAAATGTCTTCAGTAGCGCTGAGTTCCAGGCTTATAGAGCGGCCCATACAGAAGCCTTGTTATGGCTTGGAAAACATGCAAAAAGTTTTAGACCATTGACAGCAACCTATGGAGTGGTAAAAGCACCTGCCAATCAGCAATCTCCCAAAATGATGGAAATCAAGGCTAGAAGATCAGCTGAATGATCAATGGTTGCTCCTCTATTTTTTATTGATCTAGTCTCATGTAATTAGGTTTTTTCATTTACACACCATTTTCCACAAATATCAACATCCCATTGAAGAAAATATATAAAAACTTTTTTTTTCTATCTGATTTTTAAACCTAAAAAAAGTGTTTTAAAAAACACAAATAGAGACTCAACACAAATGTTTATTTGTTTTTTTTTTACTGCATTTTGCACCTATTTTTTTTATCTTTGCATTGCTCTGAACTTCCACTTCAATGCCTATTTGCACCATGTCTCTCCCACACTGTTTATATTTGATTAGTGCTGCACTTTATGAATGCTAAGCTGCTGCTCATTCACTGTGGGAAATCTGTATAAATGTCTGTGTATACAAAATGACGATAAAGTTTGTATAATTCTCAGTCTTAAAACTGTCATAATGTTAATGGCAAGTGTTTAATGTGAGATAATGCAAAACAACAAAAGCAGTTTCCTCAGTTTAAAACAACCCCATAAACCTGCAATAACTCCCCGGATCATTGATTGCATAGAGGCTACATGTCTGATTCAGATCTAAAAAAGTCTGTTCAGGTTGAAGGTGAATGTCTGACAGTGATTTACTGCCACGCTGGTCTGACATGAACTAACGTCACAAACGTACAAAAAGGTCTGTTCTTGTACGTTGTTTTGATTCTCTCTAATAGGAGGAACACGTGAGTTCATGTTTTTCACCAAAAAATCAGGTCAATCTGTTGCAGAGCAGGATTGCTCTAAAAAAAAGTTCTTATTTTTGCTGCACTGCCCCCCGGTGGTTGGATTAAGACATTACAAATATTAGTGCAAAAAATAAATCTACAATGTAGAGGAATTATGGCAAGATATTTTAGAAAGCTGTCATTTTCACATTAAATTTACATTAAAAATAAATATTACGTAAAAAACAAATATATTGCCCGAAAGAGAATTATAATGTTAATATCATACGCTCTAAGAACTTGTGTTGTGAAATATGTTTAATTGTTTCCAGGATAACCTGTAGACCAGTGTTTCCCAACCTTTTTGACTTGTGTAACCCTTTAGGCATATTGTCTTACAATGAGTACCCCCCTAAGCTTAAAGTATTGATTACAGCCTAAAAGCGGAACGTACAATAACTAACTATAAATAAAAAATTCCTCACTAAGTAGAAGAGATCATACCGCAATAAAAATTTTTCTGAGAAATAAAATATTTTGATATAGCCCTTGCAATGCACACATGGACCACTAGGTGTATGAGGATCCCCAGTTGGGAATCACTGCTGTAGACTAATAAAATACTTTGAACCACAGTTAGAACATACATCCCAACATCTCTTGTACCAAAAAGGCTACAGCGGTGCCGTTCTTTGAATGGCAGAAATTGATTTTACCGTCTCTGACAGGACCTTGACTGCGTGGACATCATGCTGGGAGTGTGCTCCAGTGGCCTAATGGTTTACAAAGACAAACTGAGAATCAACCGGTTCCCGTGGCCCAAAGTCCTGAAGGTGTCCTACAAGCACAGCAGCTTCTTTATTAAGATACGACCATCTGAGGTTAACATCCTTTGTTTCCATCACTAGACTTACCCCAAACATAACCGCAAACCAGGATGGTTTCATGATTTGATTTATTTTATTCCCTCTTTCATCTGACAGGTGGAACAGTACGAGAGCGCGATCGGTTTCAAGCTTCCTAATTATAAGGCTGCCAAGAAGCTGTGGAAAGTATGTGTCGAACATCACACCTTTTTCAGGTAAGTTATGGTTTCACTTTTTAACACCCTTTAATTTTTTTGCTTGAACCATTTTCTGTCTGCTTGTCACTCCTTAAATCTGTTGCTTCTTTGGAAACAGGTTAACCTCCACTGAGATGGCCACCACGCCGAGAAAGTTCCTAGCGCTGGGCTCCAAATTCCGCTACAGCGGACGGACCCAGGCTCAGACCAGACAGGCGAGCTCCCTGATCGACAGGCCTGCTCCCATGTTCCAGCGTTCCTCCAGCAAGAGGAACTCACGCAGTCTGGATGGAGGTAGAGCACGATTGTAGGCTGTGAAACAAGCAAAACATTAACAGTCTAGTTGGAGTGATTTTAGAAGATTTTAGAAGATTATGTTTCAGTTGCTTAAAGAGCAATGATACATTTTTTAGTCCAGTTTACAGGCACTTTACAGAGACTATTCAGCCAGATCATGTACTTGGTTCAGGTTGTTCTGTCCAAGGAAAACTAGCTGATTGCATCGACTCATTGACTCGAAGGCAATCCCTCACACTAAGCATGCTTGTAACAACGGTGAAGAGGAAAAATCAGGAAGAAACATCCAGCAGAACCAGGCTCAGTGTGAGCGGCCATCTGCTGAGGCCCACTGGGGTTCAAGGAGACTGAAGTAGACATGTAGAAAGAAGCAAATACAAAAGGTAGCTGTCAACCAGCTCTACATGCGGCGCTATCCAGGGAACACACAGCCAGGCAGAGGAACTCTGAGCCAGCTCCCATGTCAGAGGATGAAGAGAGCACATGCAGTTAGTCACAGTCAGAAAAACAGGACTACACTGGAAAACAGGCAGATCTCCAACATCTAGAAACAAAGGTGTTGATGGCAGCAGCAGAGGTGATATTTCTCTCCAGGATGGAGTCACAGCCAAACAGGAACAGACCAGATGAAGCTACTATGAGAAAAAGCAGAGAGAGCAGAACGTTAGAGATTGAACTAACAGATTCTGCAGAGTGAGAGAATAGAGATAGAATGAAGTGATAAAAAGGGGTCCCTATGTCCTCCAGCATTCCAAGCCTATAGTATCGCAAATGCAGAAAATAGCTCAGGATGACCTAAGTATTTTGGATGAGGTATAAGAAAGGTAGGGCCACAGTGTGACCAAGGTAGAGTCAATTAATTTGATATAGACCACTTCAGAGAACTAGACTTTTGCTACATAATGAACTCAAATGGGATTTTTTGCTGTCGCTCTGGTTTGAACCATAAAAGATCTGGCTACCGTTCATTCTTCCTGTCCGCTGAACTGCTGCTAGTTTTCCTCACATGCCTGGAAGATGTCTAGTGCTGCTACCACAGATGATCTCGCTCTCCAATAATAATAAATGATGAACAGTTTAGTTTGTGCCTTCAAGTCGTTGCCCATAGGAAGACGTTACTTGGATATAACCTAACAGAATATCTTCAGAACGGCTCCAAATGACACAAAACTCATATGGGTGAGTAGAAAATGATGGAATAACGGAAAAACAAGGGCCCAATGTAAAAAACGGTGTTCACCTTTAAGTTTGGAAAAATCAGTAAGGACACATTTTGGTGCATATGGGTAAGTTTTAGTCCTCTGAAGTTTGTTGTTTGTTGAGGTAATTTGGGTAGCTATCGCACATTTTCAAGGAAGCTCAAAAAGTTCCACACCATATCATGCTTCATTCACTTTTATACATCCTTACCAATTCACCTAAATTCACCAGCCTTCAAAAGATAATCCAGATTATACCATAAGTAGCCTCAAACAGTCATTAGTAAATATTTTGAAGATTCTGTCAAAATGTCTGTAAGTCGAAGACAATTTTTCTTTTTCATCAGATTATCCTTCCTGCTTAAAACTATCAACACAAAAAAAATCTAATTTAAAGAAGACCTAGGAGTTATGACATCATTTTATTTCCATTTAGTATTTCTAGTTAATTTTGGGTCAAATCAGGCATCAACGTTATCAATATTACTTAACAGGAGAGCTTCAAAATTTAAATCTTTGTTTAATGATCCTGTTTGATGTTAAGCCTTTCAGAGTCATCTATAGGCATACTGTATATGATGAAATGTTGCCTTTGTTTGGCACCACAGAGTGGTTATTTGTTTCCAGATTTTCGGGTGCTTTTTCTCCAACCTGAGAGAATGGCCGTTGCCTTTACCACCATCTTCTGGCTGTGTGTTTGCCACTCATCTCATGATGTCATTGGAGGATTGGGCTCTTCTTTAGGAAAGCTGAAAATAGTCTGAGAACAACAGCTGAGAGGCATGTTTACCTGTTAGACAGAGGCTAAAGTAGAACAGTTGCTGTCACTGTGCAGATTAGCTACTGAAATTCACATCCAGTAACATAATCACTTTCTGCCTCATATCACAGCTTATTGTTCAGAGAAAGAGGGCATGTTGTTTGCTGGGTGGTTGCAGCACAGTCTAGGCAGAGGCTTCTTGGAATAAATACCAATTTGTGCATGTTTTTGATGAATAAATAACATTATAATCATTAAGCTGATTTGTTAAAAATATAATACAGGCCCTTAAAGAAGTAAAGACATTTTAGGAAGATTACTTCAACTTAATCTCAAGGTAGCGTGAAAAGGGGTCTACATTTACCTGTGTCCCTGTGAAGAGAAATATCAGCTGTGCTGCTGCCATCAACACCTTTGTTTATAGAAGTTGGAGATCTGCCTGTTTTTCAGTGTAGTCCTGTTTCTCTGACTGTGACTAACTGGATGTGCTCTCTTCATCCTCTGACATGGGAGCTGGCTCAGAGCTCGTCTGCCTGGCTGTGTGTTTCCTGGACGGGGCCGCCTTTTACAGTTGCCTTTTGTATCTATGCTTCTTTTTCTATGTCTGCTTCTGTCTCCTTGAACCCCAGTCGGCCTCAGCAGATGGCCGCTCACACTGAGCCTGGTTCTGCTGGAGGTTTCTTCCTGTTAAAAGAGAGGTTTTCCTCTCCACTGTCGCTACAAGCATGCTTAGTGTGAGGGACTGTATTTGAGTCAATGCAATCAACTGGTTTTTCTTAGATAGAAAACTTTAAATCAATTTGACTGGATGATCTGGTGAACTGGAAAGTGCCTTGAGTTGACATGTGCTGTAAATTGGGGCTATATAAATAAACTGAATTGAATTGTTCATTTTCTAGACGAAGCCTTTTAGCTCCTTCAGTCATTATTTTCCTTTCCATAAAAATCCCACTTCTTTTTTCCACTGCTTTCCATCCAACTAATGTTGACAGGAGCCTTTTTCTGTTGACCTGACTATTCTTACCAACTTGGGTTTTATGATTTGTTTGGATAAATCTGATGATCACATTTTGTCAAAATAAATTCGATTTTTTTTTTTTAGATTTACGAACTGGTTGCCTCGACGTGACTTTTATAAATACATTTGATCATGTAAGATTTGATTTTTTTAGGAAGTTTTAAATGAGGACATTCTTATTATTTTCCCAGCAATGGCCACCACTCCTGACAACAAATCTAATCGTCCAGTCAGTGCGCCTGTTATGTCACCAGTATCTCCAGGTGAGGCAAGGCCATCACCTCTGCTACCCACACTGCCACGCCATAACCACATTGATGGCTCTACACCTAAAGGCCAGCGCCACACAGACTGGAAGAAGGAGCCAAAGACAGAATGTAAGGCAGAGCACACCAAGAGCCACAGCCCCAAACCACAGACTTCAGAGATGAAGGTAAACCACATTTCAAAGAGTGTGTTTTAGTACAAACCATAAAGCTTTTACTTTGTCTAGGACAGAAAAAACTTTGCAACATATTATCAAAGGGATAGACTAGGTCATAATGAAATCGCCATTTATGTGATGTATCTCTAATTCTGCCAAATTATTTTGCAGCAGTGTGTAGCTATACTTCTATGTCCAGATAAAAAAATACTGATATAGATAATGAAAAAAAACCTAAATGTGTAAAGATGTGTTAATATCCAACAATTCTGCAAATGCTACTGGAAGGAAAACATATGCCTGGGCTTTGGAAGTGACTCTAATATTATGAGTTTTATATATTATGCTACTGTAGACTGTGTCCAGGAGAGAGCGGAGGCACTCCCCGTCCATGACCAATAGGGAGAAAGAGAAAAAGAGCCAGGTTTGTTTGCCTGATGCATGTTCACACAGCATGGGAATACTTTCACTTTTCTGAAAGCTTCTAAACAACTTTATACACAAACTAAAATGTTGTTTCTGATGTTAAGATAAACAGAAACAAAAAATATGTATTTAATTAAGTGTGACACAGGGACTTAAAACTAGTGTTGCACCGATACCGATACCAGTATCGGACGGGGCCCCGATACTGCCCTAGAATGGTGGTATCGGTATCGGCGAGTACCAACAAATAGGGCACGATACCATTTTGAGAGCCATAAGTTTATTCAACTATTGTCACCCACTCCTGGTAGGCAATAAAAAATTCTACTGGATTCACTTTGTATTAGATTTTTTCCTGCTTCACAAAGGTAGGCAGCAGCTTGACAAAACCATGATGGCAGTTATTTTACATTATTACGGTATCGGTATTGGCCCATACTGCACAGCCAGGCTATTGAAAAACACTTGCACAGAGAATTGTAACTGTTATTCTAGAGTCTAGTTTATGATTGATTTTATTATGTTGTTTTTATGTGTTTTTATGTCTTATTGTACTGCTGCCTCTTGGCCAGGTCTCCCTCGAAAAAGATATTTTATCTCAAGGGACTTCCTGGTAAAATAAAGGTTAAATAAAAAAAAATAAATAAATAAAAAATTGGGTATCAGTATCGGGGCCAAAAAATGGCATCGGCGCAACACTACTTAAAACAAGTGTTGACAAAGACGTATGAATAATTACGCTGTGATCGATCTCTATTTGACCAAAGGTTAACTTTTTTGATAACAGAAAAATGAATTATTTAAAAATTGTATTTTTTTCATCCTGGAGGGCCAGCTTGCTCTGAAATCCAGTCTGTTATTATGTGTAAAACATAACTTAAACATTAGCTGTCTTCTATTATTTCCCTTTCTTATTAATAAAATCATTTTCTTCAAGGAATTGTTGCAATAAACCCTTAAAAGGACTTTTCTTAACACACATGCAACCTTCCACTGCAGTAAGTTCTTCATATCCTGACCAGCGACACAGACTTTACAACATATAGGTGTCATTAACTATAACTGTCAGGATCACAGCCGTTATGTTTTAATGATGCATTTTATTAGGTTCTTAATTATATGGATGGATGGATGGATGGATGGATGGATGGATGGATGGATGGATGGATGGATGGATGGATGGATGGATGGATGGATGGATGGATGGATGGATGGATGGATGGATGGAGCGCAAAATTTTATAGATAAAATGTAAATTAAAATATGAACACCACACAAAGGTTGAGATTATTAATCAGAAAATAATTAAAGTTCAGCCATAACATTTTATTACTGCTGTTTTGAGTGTCTGGTTCTTTTTTATGACTGTTCCAGTTTCCTTATTTATCATAGATGAATCTATTTAAAGTTAGTTATGATCTAAATTATTTTCCCTTATTTGCATATCAAGTTTCTGGTGCCTGGCTGAACTTTAATTGTTTGGTTACTAAGTAGGCTCTAATTTTCTTCCTTCTGATGGGAATCCAGCTTTCTTTTCAGGATAAAAAGATGGAAATGGTTCGAATAAGGAAGGTTAGCAACTTTCTTAGTTGTCTTTTTGCTGACGTGTGTCATCATCAGTACCCGCAGGTCTTTTTTTTTCACATGATGCTTCCTATCTTGACTGTGATTTTTGGATGCTTATTTGTGAAAGCTTGTGCATTTCATCACTGATGCATTTTTCAGGCCAAAATAATGTCAATTTCATTGGAACTTACTGTAATGCGACTGCAACCATTTATAACTGATAAAAATACTGATGAAAACAATTTCACTTTCTATTACACAGCAACATTTGAAGGTTGATTTGCAATGAAATATATTCAATGACTAATCATTAAACAGCTTCCTGTGTTAATGAAGGAATACTGCAGGGGCTGGATTTGAATGACAAATACTAAATTTAGGTATAATGATGTTTCATTTTAAAATTCCCAATTTTTCTAATTAAATCTGACAATTTCGTCTGTTTGTACAATTTAAAGTGATTTACTTCTACTTCTAACATAAAAAAAATTCAGACGAAATTCAGAAGTGGTGAGATTTTTTAAACAGATTTCTCATGGTATTCACATTTTACCACCCTGATAAAAATTCGAAGTTAAGAAAAAGCTGACACCATTTATGATCTTGACAAACGTATGCAAATTAAGTGCACAGACGTAGATGCCCTTTTGTGTAAAACCCTGTGCACCAGCATCATTGTGCATGCAAAGCATGGGACTAAACGTCATTGAATTTCATGTATCCGCTTGGCTGTTATTCGCATACCAACTCAGGCTGTATGGGTTCCTCGTCTTTTATTTGCTGACTGCGGTAAACTGGGAATTGCAAACTGCATTCTATGTTTCTGAACAGCAACTATTTATGTCACCGACAGCCATTGGTGTCATTTGGAAATTGGAACATAGATTTTATCCTGTCTTTCTTACATTCAGTTTTTATTTTTTTCCCTCATGTTTCACAGAAGAGACCCAAGAGACTTGAGGGTGAAACTATTTATATCAGACATAGCAATTTAATGTTGGAGGTTTGTATTTTTAGTGTTACCAGTTCTGCTAGTTTTTGTAACAGTTCTGAGTGCATGAATGTAATTTTCGGTTTCCATTTGCTTGATTAGATTGTCTTTGCTTCTTTTTCTTTCTGTAGCTCAACCCTAAAGGGTTTGCATGCACCATTTTCCTCTCTGATTGTCATGCAAGTAGCCCTATATCTGTTGCTTCTGTTTGTTCCATTTGTCATTGAAGGTTTTCTGCAATATATGACTGGGAAACATTTTTTTTTCATTATTTAAAGCAGGCTTTGCAGCCCAGTGTTTCTTACATGTAGAAACAAACTTGCTATGGATTACATGGAATATCCGTGCCATCACTAGCTATGTTTACATGCATGAAATTTAATGATTTGGACTCAATAACCAAAAATAAACAAACTGTACTGTGTAAATGGACATAAGTAATCAGAATAAAAACCACCAGGATATTCTGATTAAAGCTAGCCAGAGCAGTTAGCTACTCGATATGCGAGTGGTGTGCACATGTGATTAACTTGATGCTGATTAAATTGTAAATCAGCATTAACCATCCCTCTCAGCAAATTAAAATTTAATTCCAGTTTTTATAAATGGATCAAAACATCTGACGTGAACAAAAAACCTTTTTAATCTGATTGCTGTTTATTCCAATTATTTATGTCCATGTAAACGTAGCTACTGATCGCAGCAAAGCATCTGTAGATGAACTCAACACCTGCAGTTCTATGTTCCAAATAAAAAAACCTCCAGAATGTTGAGGTATTAGCTTCATTTCTGATCAATTCAATGATTTTAGTAGCCTGACATAGTCCTACTCAATTCTAGTCAGAATATGAGTCTGATACTGCTCCATAGAGCTGTGATTATGGGGCGTGTTTCGAACGAACCAGGAAAAAAAATGCCTCTGCATTCAATTGGATAGACCTACAACCAATAAGAGCAACGGAGTGCGTGACGTATGTTAAGCGACGCATAGTTGTTGTCAACAAAAATCAAAGCGTGCAGTTGCACGCCTAGAATAAGAAGATGAGCCTTGATAGCTTTTCTCTGTTCCTCTTTTAAAATTAATTTGCTGTCGGTATCTTCTAGAACAGACCTAATAGCAGAATCTACTCACCTCAACTCTCCAGCGGCAGCCATTGTTGTTGTCACCCAAGCGCGCTTTGGTGACGTGGTTGATTACGTTACTGTTGATCATCTGTCCATCATCGTATAAAGCCCGCCCTGACAATTTGATTGGCCCGCCAGATATTGTGCTAGCATACTCGCGCTACTATTGAGCAATGCCAGACCGAACTTCCCGACCTGAAACGTTGTGGGCGGGACAAAGTTCGGAATGGCACCCAGGCTAACATTTTAGCACTTGGTGCACGTTAAGGCTCCAAGTGGCCCACATACTCACCAATGTCACTTCAAAGAGTCACATCTGTTGCTTAATGAGTTATGAGACCAAAAGCCAGAGGTGTCAAAGTATTAATGTGTATTTCTCAAGTAGAAATCCTACTTTTTAAAAATACTTTTGTAGAACTTAAAGTATCAAAGTATGACAGTAAAAGTAATGCAGGAATAAATACTAAGGATAGAAGCTTTACTGCACTACCCTATTAAAATAAAATGTTTATACAATTCTGGAGGATATCTACCTTAAACTAAATTTTCTCAGTTTTATGACTAATGTTATATTTACCTTTGAAGTCTTGAAAAACGATTTATTTTGGCATGTGCTGAACAACAAGTTGAGGCAGCACCGAGTCCAACCACAAAGAAATTAATTGTCTGGATGAAACTTATTATTTTGATGGTTAATACAGAGCATAATGAAAATGAGCTTAAAGGAAAAGTCCAGCCAGCAGAATAATGCAGATAATTATGAAGAATAATCAATGGATCATCATCTATAACTAAAACTAATACATTTGCTGTGATTTAATGAATTTAGCGTTGATTGGTATAAAAATAAAAACAATAATTTTCGTTGGGATCACCAAGTCTGGGAGCGGCCATTTTTGCCCAAATATAGTAACCCCTCCCTCCTGCGATCTTCCAGCAGTGACGTCACGGTGCGGTAAGCCTAGCGCCATTCTCCCCGCTTTACAAGCTAAATCAATGGGAACTACTAGACACATCTGCAATCAACAACAATTATTGAAGATTTCCAGAGGACTTCACCATTGAAATTCACCAGAGCTATAGTGAAACTGATAATGCCCACGTGCATGGCAGCTGGATGCTAGAATACATCGGGTAAAAGTGAAAAAAAAAAGTTATTCCACCTTTCTGATTCCTGATCCTCCACGGACGGGTTGGTCGTTGGATCGCCAACTTGAAGAGGGAGGATTTGCCATCGAACTTCTGGCCAGAGAAAAAACCCGTAATATCACTGCATGAAAAGTGAGATTTTCGTCCCCGTAAACCCCCGTAAACTCCCGCAGATCTGCCTGATTTTCGTCAGTTTCCGACAATTTGCAACCCGTGCTTGTCCGCGTTTGTCGTGCCACAAATTGTCGGAAACGGACTCTGACGTATGTGGAGAGCGATCAGCTGTACTAATGGCCCTAATTAGCATATGAATGCAGCAAACCCGCGCGGCTGGCCAGGTCTGGCTTGAATAACCTTCTCAGTATTGGCTGAAACCACTATTCTCAAACAAATGAAATCGCTCGTGATTGGCAGCAAAACCAAACGTGGCCACGCCAGGCTTTAATTTTCTTACTGAGTATTGGACGGAACCACTTCTTTTTAAACAAGTAAAGTCGCTCGTGATTTGTTGGCATATATATATATATTTACATATAAATTTACATATATATATTTATGAATATATATTTATTCATTCATATATTTATTCATTCATATATTTATTCATTCATATGCTGTGCATTTATGTTATCCTACACTACTACACAATTATTAGGCTACCATCAAGGACATGAATGAATTTATACAGGAAATGAACATTTGCCAGGAAGCTGTTTATGCAAAGAAAGAGCTTTATTAAAACACACACAACTATATACAACGCGTATCCAAACACATGCGTGTCTAAAAATTACAACTCCGTGAACGGTCCGTTTGCTTCCTCGGGGTTGGAGGTAACTGGCAGCATTCCCTCCGAGGCAGGTCCGATGTGCAGACGCCTCCTGTGCGCGGCCCTGTCCTTCGGCATCGCTTCTAACCGGGACTGCAGCTTAACACAGAGTTCAGTGAGATCCGGCCTACGAAATGGCGGCGTCGCGGCGTCTGCCTCGCTTTCAGAAGCTGAAAAAAAAAAACGATGAATCAGCGCACTGCGTATGGACACAACACATCTATTAATGCACCTGAAAAATAGTCACCAAATAAAGTCTTACCCTCTTTCTTCTGGCCCGACTCCGAGCAGATAGCCTCCGCACGCAGCGTGTTGGCTGGCTGCGTATATCTGAAGCTCCTGCGTACCGTCTGAAAATACGTCTTACAGGCAGCTGGAAAACAATTAAATGAGAGTGGTATGAATAAAAAATCAAACGCAAGTCAAAGTAACAAGGAAGGAGAAAACATTAAAACAAGTCACTTACACACAATGTCGTCTTTATCAACATCGTGCTGATATGGCTCCGAGCAAATAGGAGGTCTGTGAAAACAAAATGTATAGCTATGATCGGTATCCATCCGTATCCATTGCCTTTTACCGCAGAATGAAAGCATATTCTTTAAATCTTACCCTTGCTCCGGTTCATAGCGCCTGCAATTAGTCTCCGAGTTGTGAAGACGGCGTACTGCTTCCTGTGAATCACAAAAAATACACTTTAATAAAGCTTGTTCTTGCAAGGCTACTATTAGCCGTAGCTTGTAGCTTTAGGCTAGGCTGCTATTAGCCGTAGCTTGGGCTAGGCTGCTTTTAGCCTAGCAGGCAGTAATCGAACATATATTTACCGCTAGCATCTCTTCTTTGAGTTCGTCTTGTTCGATGTAGAGTCGCCATCGCGACCAAGAGGAGTTTTACCCCGAAATCCCCCATACTCCGCTCCAGACCGCCTGCACAAAGCAAAGCATACATCCTCCACTATGGCTGCAGACCGCTACGCTCTGAGTTTCTTGGAGATCGCAGAGAGCATGCGCGAGATGAACCAGGGTTTCCATGGATCAATAAAAATAATTAAAAAATCATTCATTTTTTTTTAAATCAAGGCTTTAATTGGCACTAAAATTATTTAAATATGTTTATCGAAGTATTTATAATTCTTTAATAAAAAATGCTTATAAAAACAATTTCGTCAGATAAATTATATCGCTCCAGGCGGAGAAAAAGCTAGAGGATTTATATATACGTATATATGTGTATGTGTGTGTGTTTACATACATACAGGAGTCAAGGAACTCTGCTTACAGCTCCTTCATATTTCATGTACACTAATAACTTGTGTACATGGTTCTTGTTGATGGCATTAAAATCATTTCTAATAGCATTAAAATAGCATTAAATTAGAGTCACTCATTCCTGTGTGAACCCTGTGAGCGCTTAATTTAATATGACATATTAAAAAAATCCCACCATCATCCAGCATATGTTCAGTTTCTGCCCAAATATATACAGGTGCTGGTCATAAAATTAGAATATCATGAAAAAGTAGATTGATTTCAGTAATTCCATTTAAAAAGTGAAACTTGTATATTATATTCATACATTACATACAAACTCATATATTTCAGATGTTTATTTTGTTTAATTTTGATGATTACAAATGACAACAAATGAAAATCTCAAATTCATCATATCAGAAAATTAGAATATTACTGAAGACCAATAAAAACAAAGGATTTATAGAAATGTTGGCCAACTGAAAAGTATGAACATGAAAAGTATGAGCATGTACAGCACTCAGTATTTAGTTGGGCCTCCTTTGGCCTGTATTACTGCAGCAATGCGGCGTGGCATGGAGTCGATCAGTCTGTGGCACTGCTCAGGTGTTATGATAGCCCAGGTTGCTCTAATAGTGGCTTTTAGCTCTTCTGAATTG